CTCCTGTTCTTCCTCGCAGGGCATCTGACAGTCAAGAGAGTTAATAGATTTCAGGTGAACTGCTTTAATTACTTCCTGACAGCCCTAAATGGACTTGATACAATTATCAGGCTGATCATCAGACATGTTCCTTGCTACTACTTGCAAATCTAATTAACTTCTTCTGGAAAAGATAGGTTCTCTTTGTGGCTCTTCTATTCTCCCACCATGGAATAGGATTTGCGCATAGTTCCAAACCCCCCACTACATTCTAGTAACTCACTGTTCAAAGAAAGAAATCTTCGATTAGATCTTTAAGGTCAGAGGCCACTAGATTTCTAAGAGGTTTGGGCCATGCACAAAATCTGGTGGTACTACTTCCTCTATAGGTTATTCCAAATCCCACTTGATTGGCATCTCTGTGCCAGTTTTATTGTTTATTATTTGGTCTGGAAATCCCACAGTTTTATTAGAGATGAAGGGGATTTTTTTCCTATGATTTTTGTTCTTGTTATTTTCTGTTTTCACCAAGGGGGGGGAGGTTGGAGTGGGAATAACTTTGTAATCTTCAAACATAAGAAAATGAAATATTGTCTTAAAAGCCTTCTATTGCTGTGACTCAAAGTTCTATGATTTGAAGAAGTTTCCAAAAACAAAATTTGCTTCAAACTCATGTGTTTGATTTTTTTGTAAATCAGTTTTTAAAAATTTACAATCAACAAAAACCCTATCAACTTAACTTTTAAAATATGCAAAAAGTTTTTGGAAAGTAAATGTTTAAATTTTAAAATAAATTTTTTAAAATTTAAAAATAATTAAATTTTAAAATAATGTTACCTGTCAATAATTGGCAGACAAATATAAGGGTAAATAAATACAAACAGAACTAAAATTTGATTCATTTTCAACTATTTCAAATCTATCTACAGTGTGAAATTTTATCTGCAGCAATAAGGGATTTAATTCATTTCAAGGATACAGTGGAAAATATTGTATTTTACTATATGGTTCTTTTTTTTTAAATTAAACTTCTTATATATTTTTGCGTTAACAAGAGAATAAGATGCAAAATTCTCTGATCTGCAGGGAACTACTAGCCAGATTTCAGTAAATGACAGGCTCTTCAGAGCACCTTATCTTTTTACCTCTCAAACCTAGCATTTTATCTTGCTGGTAGTAGTCACTCTTCCAGTATGTGTGCATTGAACTGCTGTAAAAAATGCGCTAGAAATATTTAAACAATATCCTTTTATTATTATCATTATTCCAATAATTGTTATATGTCAATTATAACATCGGTACTTTTTCCATAAGCGCCATCTCATTAGTCTCTATGGACTCTAAATGTTATTTTCAATGAGTTAAAAGAAAACAAACTATTCTTTCTTGGAAGGCAAATAGAAAATCTTCAGCAAAATAATACTTGTCAAAAAAAAAAAAAAACAGAGAGAGAGAGGGAAAGAAAGAGAAAAAGAAATATCCCAGTCAAATTAAATTACAGAGAGGATTGACATTGATAGAATACAAGTGTCTAAGATAGAATTGTGCAAAATTCCTAAAGTAACACCCAATTCTTATAAAATGTACCGCTAGGAAACAGAGGTTCCATTTTACATCTCATTGCATCTGAAAAAGCAATCTTCTTTAGCAGAGTCCCAACATCCCTTTTCAATTTCAATATGACATTTTATTCTGAGGTTAATAGATATTAATAATACGTACAACTACAGAATATCAGCTACAACAAGACACTAAATATAGAGAAGGTAATTCTGTGGCTTCTGTTCCATTAGGACACTATCACAGGGCCCAAATCTGACCAGAGGTAAGATCTTTACACTTTAACTCACTCAGTCCACTATGGCACCATAGAGCTTCTGAGCAAGCCCCTCAGTGACAGTGTTTTACTGTACATCTTTCCTGATTTAGTTTGCTGTCTCACAGAATCTCATTGGAACAAAAGTGTGGAACCTATAGGTGTACCATCAAAAACAGTGTCATTGCAAAAAGATTTGGGGTTTAAATAAGATACGTTACTAAATGCTAAGAATTATCACAGTACTGAGTTAAAGTATATTTCAAAATATAAGCATTGGTGTATTTAAATGTTATAACAACTGTATTGGTAACCAAATAAATACATTAAAATAAGTGAAACAACAAGTCAATTCCCAGTAGAATTACTTAAATATATGTGCTCAAGAGTAGGGGGCTTGGAGCAGAGTTAGGTGCTAACATGTGTCCAAAATAACCATCCCAGGTAGTCAAAAAAGGAAGCAAAGGGTAAGTCTGATGATCGAAATAATTCTAATAGGGCACCTGGGTGTCTCAGGCAGTTATGCCTCTGCCTTCAGCTCAGGTCATGATCCCAGGGTCCCTGGGATCCAATCCCACATCAGGCTCCCTGCCCAAGGGGGGAGTCTTGTTCTCCCTCTGCCCCGCCCCCCGCTCGTGTGCATGCTCTCTCTCTCACAATAAATAAATAAATAAATAAATAAATAAATAAATAAATTGTAATAGCTCCCTAATTTCTATCAAAGAATGACGGATCCATTGAGGAATCTGAAGTGTTTCTGCTTGCCTATATTACTCCATTATATTTTAGTGTTAAGCTTCTGTGATCTTAACCTGCATTGATCTATTTGCTTGTATTCTGAGAATAGGATGGGATAATGAAACAAATTTAGCCTGTAAGTTCAATGCCTGTAAGAATCCATGAAGCCAATATATCCAATCTGAAAGGTTTTATTTTTTGTGGTGGATTTTCAACATAATCAGAAGCTGTAATAATGATAGAATTCTACCAATGAAGAAGACTGCAAGGGGCAAGTCCTCTCTCTTTCCCAAAAAATCAAGAAAGCTTGAGGAGAGAACTCCTAGAAAGAAAAACAAAACCTGGAGCACCTGGGTGGCTCAGTCAGTTAAGCATCTGACTCTTGATTTCAGCTCAGGTCATGATCTCACGGTCGTGAGATCGAGCCACACATCGGGCTCCATGCTGAGTATGGAGACTACTTAAGATTCTCTCTCTCCCTCTCCCTCTGCCCCTACCCCTGCTCTCTCTCTCTATATATATAAATAAAATCTCAAGAAAGAAAAAGAAAGGCAAAACCTGATCAAAGGGTTAAAGGAAAGGAATAATTCTGAGTACCATAATATTGCCTCCATCTCTCAAATGTTTTTTTGACAAGTACCCATAGATTAATTGGTAAGGTCTAGAGAAGGAAACTATGCATGTAAATTGATAATCTTTGTGATATATTTTAATTAAAAGGCAATGCTGATTTGAGACTTATGGTATGTTTATCATTGTTGGGAGTGGGAGAAAGGGATTCAAAACAAGACTTTGGCACATCAAGAGCTCCCATCCATCAGTAAGCACACGAGCTCTATTAGTAGTTTTGGGATAGAAGTGTGGCTTCACTACATCATCGCCTTTTTACAAGGAGACTTAGCATCAGCAGGGAAGGGGCTGGCCATCTATATTGATCAAAAGGCAATTTCACATGGTTTCTTAACAAGCACTGAGGGAGCCAGAAAAATGGCAGGTACCACATGGCTTAGAAGAATACGTTCAGCCATGAGATATGGCATCAAGTCTTCCAGACACAGAATTTAGGAGACTTTGAAGGGAAGCTGTCAATGACACAATAATAGGTATAGTCAGCATCTAAGATATACAATGAAGTACATAAAGTTTGAGATACACTTTCACTGAGATCTGGAGGTTAATATGAATGCTTAACTGAGGAAATAAAAGTATTGGTTAAATAGCCATTTTATTCAGCAAGTTGGCACTTTTAGGAAAAATAACAAATGCATTAGGACTATGGTGAAAAATTAAGATCATAAGAAAGTAGATGATTCTTGAAAGATACAGGGACATGTGTGTGCAAGCAAGGTGATATGACAAGTGAGTCCAGAGAAGGAGGATTTTGGAGAAAGACTACAGAGCAAAAAACAGCAAAAGATGTTAGTATGAATGGTATGAATTTCAAGTAACAAACTGACTCAAGCACAATGAAAATTTGTTAGTTTTATAACCGGGAAATACAGGAATACAGATGGCTTCAGACTGGAATTAGTAGCTCAGAAAAACCTCAAAACATTTTCTCTCTCCATCTTTTGGCTCTGCCTTCCTATGTCTTGGCTATATTTGGTCATGCTTTTCCCATGCAGTGGCAAAGCTGTTCAAACATAGTGTCAAGCCTACTTCCTAACAGATTGGCAAACTCAGGGGGAAAAAAGTAGACACCTCTTTCCCAACAATTTAAGCCAAAGACCAAAGGGTGACTCTTAATTGATTCGGCTCCATTTATAAGCCCATCCTGGAACCCAAACTTTGTGAGAGGGGAATGGAATGTTGTGAAAACAATCAGCATAGATCACGTTCCTACCCCTGGAGATGAGAAATGAGGTCAACTGTGCCTTCCCAGCATGGGTGAAACATGGTCTCTGGGTGGTTTATTAGCAGGAAGGTGATGTACTGTTACCAATAAAGAAATGATGTTTGATTCACTTCTGGTTCAGTTGATCCTAGAAGATACTATCACCAAAAGTTATTGCTAACCAAAATAATTATAAAAGGGAACTATAAAATCTTAGAATTATGGTAGTGGAAAGTGTGTACATGCATGTAATGCTGTCTAATATATTCAGAATCATATTTGTCCTGAAGTATCCATGATAAAACCTGAGTTTGGTTTTTTATTTTGTTTGCTTTTGATATTTTTCATTTGGATTGCTATTCCAAACTCTTTAGTTGCCACTGTTAAAGAAATACATACCCATGTCTCTTGCTATATGACTTTGCAATTCCTATTGGAATATACAGAGTATTTTCCCACTCAATCAACTCATATTGGGGTTGTTCATGTGTCTTCTTTTGACCAGTGGAATTTTTGCATATTGAGGCAAGCAAAGCCTAAAGTGTCCTTTCAACGACTTGGTCCCTTGTACCATGAAAAGAACATACCTTGAGTAGCCACTGATTAAAGAAAATAGATCAGACTTAACTTTACCTCACAGCCTGGAGTCAAGCCCAGGTAATTGCAGCATGAACCAGTCTCCTCAGATAACCTGCAGACAAGAAAAATAATCATTCGTTGTTTTTAAGTTACTGATATTTTGAAACTGTTGATTGTACAGCATTATTGCAGCAGAAAACTAAATATTAAACTTCCCTGCTATACTACTTGTGAGTTATATTCCACTTATTTTCAACATAGTATATTGTATAAAAATGGTGCTGTTAAAAATAGTAAAAAATTTTGACATGTAACATTTATTTTAAAATATGATTTAACACAATTTAACCCTTAAACTGCTCAAAAACAATTTCCATATAAGATAGTGAAATTTAAAAGATATAAAAAATGCATTTTACAGATTTCTTCCCATACTTAAGTTTAAAAACAATGTATCGTGCCCCTCTAGGTGCTGTCAACCTGTTCTGAAGAGGGAGGGAGAAGATGGAGGCAAGCTATCCAGTCCCTCACCCCATCCCCCTGCAACTTTAGAGAAATCTCATTGATAGATTTTTTATACACTGAGATTCCACATAAAGTTTCAGTTTTTAAGGAGGGGGAGGGAATTCTTCTGCTATGTTAAAAAACAAGTTTGTAATCTATTCACTACACAATCATCTTACCTAGAAAAATAAAAATTTTTCTCTCTACTCATAAAAGTAATTTGTTTATATATACTGTAATTAAATCCAACTATAAATAGTTTAAAAATAATAAATAATTATGCTAAATTGTGCATCATGGAGGAAATCCTCTTTTCCCCCACAGCCTAAAGAATCATGTTATGAAAAGCAGGTGTTTTTATTATCACCCCTTTAATCATGCCTTTACCAGAGTATGTCTCAGGTTAAAAATGGTCTGTTTTAAAAATTTGTATTCCTTGGGAAGGATACTTTTGAGGGAGGAAATGAAACATTCTCTGTCATTTGCACTCTGAAAGGTCTACACCTGTGAAAAATATATGCTACTAATAAGTAAAAAAATTAAAAAAAATATTTTCATGCCACTTTTCAGTTGATGTATGGGTAGAAAGGATTATGACAGATTTTGACATTCAGAGCATTCTTTAACCTTAAGTGGAAAATGAAATAGTAGGCAGTGATTGACATTTAGAGATTGGAAGACTACCCAGAGCCTACTTACATATCTTTCCCATTATGATGTCAATAATTATTACCACTGAAGTCACACCTTTGAGTTAAGACATTATCTCCAGATTTTTAAATAATTATTAAAATTTAATTCAGTTAAAAAGTTAATTTATTTAATAAAAACCATATTAAGCCATTAACATCAACTAAATCTTTGCGGCAGTAAAGAGAGATAAATTCAATTTTCTTTGAAGGCTCATTTCTTCTGTTTTGATAGCTTACCAACAAGCTGACACCACAGGTCTGAGCAAACTCAGTGGGAGAAAAGGTATTACCAGAAACTGGACTCCAGAAGCCACTTTTTCTAACAGAGTCACTTATCTACTCTTACCTCTCCATATTTATGTCACATTGTTAGGAGTGGGGGCCCTTTTTACTGGAGTACTGTGCTAGTCAAAGCATAACTCTCAGTGGAATAATAAAATGTCTATAATATGTGTTTGTAACACTCCTCAGTAATCCCTTTTTTATATTTACTATAATGAAGTTAGAATCTCCTTTGAATGACATGTTACCTTTGAGATTACTTAACAAAAAGGAAAAATGTTTTAATGAAAGAATTTTGGAGAGTAAAATTGTATAATTTCAGGATGCTCTTCTTGTTCCATAAGGGTAGGAGGGTTCCAAAAAACAAAAGAAGACCAACAACAATCATGGGGAATTCAAAAGCAAATTTACTACTCTAGAAAGCGCTGAAATTCTATTTAAAATGTCACTAGCAAAGAAAAATGAAAGAATAGAGAAAGAAACTATAATTCAGAATTTTTTTTCGTATTCTTTTTCTTCTCCTTCCTTCTTTTCTCCTTTAAAATTGTTGATTTTAACACAAAATACTTATTACCCTTCTAAAATACCAAAAAGCATGAATATGATTTTTCCCTACTCCTTGTTTCTTTTCCTAAGGAATAGCTACAGTCACAGAACACTCTGGCTTCACTGTGGTACTTCACTCACTAGTGGAAGAGGGTAGCATCTTCTTGATGTTTGGAAAGAAGTATTGGACACATGTAGCCCAGCTCCTTCTTCTCTTTCCCTTGGGAGGAATTCAGATATTCTGCTGATAAAGACATTCTGCTTTTTTGTTTTCTAGAGATGCTTTGCTCATCTCTTTGGGAGAACTCTGCCCCATTTCAGGCTGTTGAGTGGGAATGCCTAATTAAGTCTTAGGTTCACCATTAGAAATACCACTTGCCCATTGATACAAATTGCATTCTCCTATATCAGCTTGTTAATAAAGGTGATGTTTTGGTTTCCATCTTCCTTATTCTTGTTTGCTTTTTAGTTTGACCCCAAGACCCAGAAAAATGTACTACATATTGGGAAGCATTTAAGCCTGCATACAGTACCTCTAAAATATTTCCATATAGTATCTCTAAAATTAAACCTCTGTAATATAACACTGCATTTTGCTGAAACATTCACTTTCTAAGAAAAATTTCTACTGAGATATCAGTCCTTTTTTTCTACCCTTTTTAAGCTGCTTTTGTTAAATGCATACACATTTCTTCATTGGTTTGTTACCTTTAGAATAAAAGGCAGACAATATAACAAATGCTTTTCCTCTCAAATGAAAATTATAGGTTTACTTTCACTGAAGGGGAATTTTACTGGACATAATTCCATACTTTAATTTTAAAACATATTAATACTCATTATATTATAGGGAAGCATTTTATATATGAACATTCTTCTACAAAGCCAGGAGTATTACAAAAATCATTAGTTCCTGGCAGATTGAGGGGCTTTGTTTGGTTTATAGTATGTTTGAAGTACCACTTGACTGACAGTTAAATCAAGAGCTAGTTCTATTATTTCCATCCCCAAACATGTAAAAATAGTAAGCAGGAAGCAGTTTGTCATTCAAAATCAATTATTTCAACATATGACAATAGAAGCCTGGAGTGAGGACTGACAAATACAGGTTCAGGCAAATCTGAAAAAATTCAAAGACTGGCAGACTTACGAGCTAGTGGACTGCAGAATTCAGTTTCATTTAAACTACATAGCTGGGAGGGACGCCTGGGTGGCTCAGTCGTTAAGCGTCGTCTGCCTTCGGCTCAGGTCATGGTCCCGGGGTCCTGGGATGGAGCCCCGCATCGGGCTCCCTGCTCCGCAGGAAGCCTGCTTCTCCCTCTCCCTCTCCTCCTGCTTGTGTTCCCTCTCTCGCTGTGTCTTTATCTGTCAAATAAATAAATAAATAAAATCTTAAACTACATAGCTGGGAGATGGTGGGAGGAGGGAAGCAAACCATAAAGTTTATACACTAAAATTTAATAAACTAATTCTGTATTAATATAAGGAATGATAGTTCCTAGAATTTCATTATCTTGCATAGATAGTGATATCCTTTATATTCAGAAATGTCATTGCTCGTATCAATATATAAAACCTAATAGGGAAGTCTTGAGAGAAAAATGTATTGTTTTTAGTCTTACTTTACTTTTCTAACCTATGTTCCATTAGTATCCCATAAGTCCCCCTCTCCAGAACTAATCAACTAATCTATTCCTTGCTATATAGTCTCATTTCTTTGTGCTTTTGTCGTGCCTTTTTTCTTCTTGGAATATCCCTGCCTCTTTTCTCTTCCTTACAAATTATTCTTACCCATATCAAGACCTTCCTTTTCCATAAAGCTGTCTCAGACCATTTCAGCACATGCATTATCTTCCCCCTTTGAAATCAAACAACCTATTATCCATACTTTATTATGCATAATTTTAAATATTTTCTTCTAATTTCATTAATGTATCATGTAGTTATATTTTGTTTTCCCAATCATACTTTGTACTTAAACGTGGGTAACATATTTCAAAGTACTTAAAAGAGTGCTGTGCACTTAATTAATGTGTTGGATTGATTGATGTGCATTTTCTTTTTTTTTTCCTAATCTTTGTTTTTTTAATCTTTTTATTATGTTATGTTAGTCACCATACAGTACATCATTAGTTTTTGATGTAGTGTTCCATGATTCTTTGTTTGCATATAACACCCAGTGCTCCATGCTATACGTGCTATCTTTAATACCCATCACCGGGCTAACCCATCCCCCCACCCACTCCCCTCTAAAACCCTCGGTTTGTTTCCCGGAGTCCGTAGTCTCTCATGGTTCATCCCCCACTCTGATGTGCATTTTCACTGTCACATACAGATTTGTTTAATCTTTACTTATAGCTCTTATAACACATGTAAGATTATAATATACAAAGCTGAGACTGAAGTTTCTAATAGAGGAATTTCTACAGATCTTATACAGGACCTAGAACTGAATTAGAAACACTATATTCAAGACAAGGATTTTCTGTCAACTAACTTTCAGTGAACGGCACATAGGTTGAACCTGGCAAACTTTCAAATTAGAATAGATGTTATTTTCTGTTCCAATTCCAATGTTTTGTGGGTTTTTTTTTCTCCTTTTTTGAGTTACATTTTAGGAGAGTATCAAGTTGTTAGCCCTCGGTGTTAAGGACACATCTTTACTGAAGAGATGAAGAAGTGTGCATTTAACCAGAAATAGTGGTTAGTGTATTATATACAATTTCTCATTCAGTACACCAAACTAAAAAGTAGATATTACTTTCCTTTTATAGATGAGGAAACTGAGGTTCAGAGAGGTGTTTTTAAAATGTCCATTGAGGGGCGCCTGGGTGGCTCAGTCGTTAAGCGTCTGCCTTCGGCTCAGATCATGGTCCCAGGGTCCTGGGATCAAGCCCCGCATCGGGCTCCCTGCTCCCCGGGAAGCCTGCTTCTCCCTCTCCCACTCCCGCTGCTTGTGTTCCCTCTCTCACTGTATCTCTGTCTGTCAAATAAATAAAATCTTTAAAAAAAATAAATAAATAAATAAATAAATAAATAAATAAATAAATAAATAAAATGTCCATTGAATTGATTATGAAAATATAATTATTTCATGACTCAAAAATCTTTAAAAATATCAAAGAAAAATATTGAGTTGGATTTGACAGATTTGCAATTATAAGGAAATAATAAACATCACCTTATATTCTAGTGTAAGTGGTGCTGTTTCAACCTAAACCCTTTCAACACAACTATTTCTTCCTAAATAGGTTATGTGAATGGCTCCAAGCCACACGTTGTGTTTTTATTTTTTTTTCCCCCTCAGACTTATGTTCAAGGGCAAAAAGAGCAAACAGATTGTATTTGCCCATCTGTTCCATTTCTTGTGAAAGACCTTTAAAGGTCTTTTAATATATCACTTTACTTCGGTTGGTTTTTTTTTTTTTAATTTCTATTTTTACTAGAGTTCTTAGATTATTTCATCTAAAACCTTGGGATTTTCTGCAAAAAAAAATGTGAGCTACATCTGACATATCTAGATTTTTATGCTTTATATCTACTTTTGTGTGTGTGTGTGTGTGTGTATGTGTGTAGAAAGATTTGCAAGGGCAAATAAAACAAAAGAAAAACTAAGACTCACTCAAACTAGCCCTGAGTTAGGCCCCTGAATTTTTTTCCAGGTAATTCCAAACTGGAAGAAGGAATTTACTTTAATATATCCATAAGAACAAAATACAAGTGTTCAAAAACTTTGGTTTAAATACTCAGAGATTTTTCTATCTTTGTACAAACTGTTTCATTTATCTCTTAATACCACAGAGAGTGATCTCTTTAGAGATTTGGTTTATTGAACATAAGTGTCTTTTTGGAAGCTTTTATCATTTATTGGTCCAACATCTAGATGTACTTTATTTGGAAGCTTAATGATAATAATAATGCTACTATTAATCACAATGTTGAGATTAGTCTGGAAGGGCACTGAGCTTGTTTCAATCATTCTCTGTGATCATATTCCATGATGATGTTTAGTGGTTCAGTTTTGACTTGCAAGTGAGAGTCTAATCATGAACAATGATTCTTCAACATATTTTCCCTTCCATGAGAAGAGAAATAGCTCAGGATTCACAGGCAGAATTGCTTCTATACATAAAATGATACATCTAAAGGAAGAAACTGTTAAGTTCTTAAGTATGAGAAATCACTAAGAACATAGCATAAATGGATTTAAAATGTGTTATATCCAGATCAATGTGGCATCATTTTTCCTGTTTTAAGAATACTATGTTGACAAAAGAGGGGGATAATTTACCAAAAAAATTGACTGCTCTTATAACTTAGAGATCCTGAAAACATGACGGGATTTTGCTAAAGTACTTGACTTCTCCATGATTTTGTTTCCAGCTTTACTGAGGAATAATTGACAAAATTGTATATATTTCAAGTGTATAACGTGATGCTTTGATATACATTGTGAAATAATTACCAAGATCAAGTTAATTACCACATTCATCACCTCATGTAATTAACTTTTTTTGTGTGTGAGAACTATTAAGATCTATTCTCAGAAAATTTCAAGTAACACAATACCCTATTATTAACTATAGTCACCTTGCTGTACATTAGATTCTTAGAACTTATTCATCTTACAAATAGAAGTTGATTATCATTTACCTTACATCTCATTCTCTACCCCCATGCCCTGACAATTACCATTTCCACTTTCTGTTTCTGTGAGTTCAGCTTTATTTTTTTTTAGATTTCATATATAAGTGATACCATGCAGTATTTGTCTGCCTGGCTTATTTCAGTCAGCATAATGCCCTCCAGGTTCATACATGTTCTCATAAATTACAGAATTTTCTTCTTTTTATGGTTAAATAATATTCCATTGCATATATATTTTTTCTTTACCCATTATCTGTTGACATTTAGATGGCTTCTATATCTTGACTATTCTGAATAATGCTGCAGTGAACATGGGAGGGCACATATCAACCAAAATAATGATTTCATACCCTTCAGAAATACAGCAGAGATTTCTGGGTCACATGGTAGTTCTATTTTTTTTTTTTTGAATTTTTTTTTTT